ATATATATACATATATATATATTTATATATATAAATATATATATATATATATACATTTCTTTTCATGCTTATCTGCCTTCTGTTGGATTATTTCTTTGTATAGCTCTATTATTTTAGACAGTTCAATCTGTTCAATATTAATTTGGCATTTTGTACATATTAAACTAAATATATATGAACTATTTCAAACAGCTTCATGAGTTATATACGATTAGTATGATTATTTTACAGGTAAAGGAAGTTGAGTCATAGAGAGATTAAATAATTGGCTTAAAGTCAGTAAAAGAACCAGAATTCAACGGAGACATTTTTGCTCCAGAGACTATGCTCTTCCCAATCACTGGGCTAAATCAGTGCCATGGATTGTGGTGGCTGAAAATACAGTCCTTGTGCCTATGAGCAAGCAAGGGTTCAGTGATGACAGTGAGCAAACAAGAGGCCAGGCAGGTTATAGGAAGAACTGCTGTTTTGTTGGAGTCCAGCCATACCCATTTATTTGTGAATTGCAGAACTGTGGATAGAAGGTTCCAACAGAGACTGTATGGCTTTCAAAGCCTAAAACATGTCCTACCTGGCTCCTTGCAGAAAAAGTTTGTCAATCTTTGTTCTATTTCAAAATGTTTGTTGAATGATAAATAAAACAACTCCTTTTGGTACTGTATCATATAATTGTATTATTATAAACAACATATTGTATATTAAATGTATATATGTAATATATATGTTTACATATATAAACCTATATATGTAAATATAATATTAATTACATGTACACTAGATGCATATTTAAAGCATGTTATATAATATATAAATAATATATAATTGCATAACTATATATACTATATAATTATGTATAATTATATAATATATAACTATAGCTCTATATAACTCTATATAATACATATATCTATGTTATGTAAATACATATATATCTCTACAACTTTTATTCTCTTTTGTCAACTAAATTCTAAAAATAGGAACTGTGGCTTATAATTTCTTTATTACTTTTTTTCCAACCTAGCCTGTGCTAAAAAATTTAATTAAAAAATTTAATAAATTCTCAAGCTAATGTAAAATTGTTTAAAGCTATATTAATTCTTTACCTACTAACTTATTATAACCATTTGTTCCAAAGTGGCATACTTATATGAGAAATCTAGAAGATAGGGATGATGCAGAGTAAAATAAGCGATACAAATATAAATCAGTAATTTATTACAGAAACAGCTTTTGCATGCAGGACAAGTACACAGTCCTTTGTGAGTTACGATTAAGCAGCCTCACAGAGTTAAACTTCTTAAAGGGCCTTATTAGCAATGCACAGTCATTCATAGGGCGCAGCAATCTCCTATTGAATCAGAACTGAGTGTGTTAGATTTGTATGCTTCTTTTCCACAGGGGTCTTGGTCCATTTTAAAAGCTATGGATGTTGATGGATTAGAAAGGAACGTGGTCAATATTGCTTGAAAACATGTAATCCCAAACTGCATGCTTCATTGAGCTGCTTAAAATAGTGTAACTTTTGTTTAAAAAGAAAATGTAGGTAGGAGAAGTGAAAACAAGTTGGAGGAAGCTAAATCCATAAGTGAAGGTCAGTGACGTGTGTTAAGTTGGGAGGGGAAATGTCTTTGGCAATCTGTTCCAAGTGCCACAATCTATAGTAGAGCTATATGAGAGCTAGCCAGCTCTTCAGTAACAATTTGTCAGTAGCTGTGAGGGAGTTTAAACTCTTCCTGACAACACACACAATTAAAAATCTTCTCTATGTTACACAATGGACACATTGTATTGGTGTCATTTATCCAATGACACTACAAACTACATAAATGACATAGTTCATAAATTCACAAATCTTTCTCAAGGGGACATCAACCACTAAACTTGTATTGTATCAGTTTAAGTCTGATCTAGCTTATTACCTAGCGTAGTGTCCATCTGATTGATACTCCAAGGTGTCTATGAAAAGAAGATGGAGGTCTAAATCACAATTTGAGAGGGAGAGGTGACTGAGCCAATTGATTCCTTGAACTATAAATGGTCATCTGCAGGACCTCAAGTCTCCCACTATTTTTTCATACACAGTTATATATTTTTGGCTGATTTAAACCCAGTGGTCTGGTCCAGTGCCTACTCTGTGAGTACCATTCTCCTTTGTTTTTTTTTAATGTAAAAACTACTGCCCAAATACGGTCTGTAGCGTTTGCTGGGGGAACACTCTTCCTGGTCTGAAACATGAACTCTCAGCTCTGGATCCTGTGTTTTGAGACCCCATTTTTAAAACAACACAATGAACAATAGTTCTCTTAAGCATGTAAATTTAAAATTTTATAGAAAAATTGGAACTGGGGTGTGAGGGTGGGAATTAATAAGGGATTTAGACTAGTCTTGTTGCTGGGAACAAAAGAGAAAATTTCCTGGTGGAGAAATTGTATTCTTCCTCCTGAGAACTATGTGAAATTTATTTGTTTTTACCTTAAGACATACGAAACAGCAAGCACTTTCCTTGGTAAGTTTAAGGGTATGTGGAGAAAGAAATGCTGGGTCTCAGTATACAAGGACAGAGAGGGAACTAAAACTTATTGAGCACTGAATTATGTGGCACTGGGTTGCTATAAGGATGCAATATATAAAGAATGCAAATTGCCTTCATAAACCTCAAATAGAAAGTATTAAAGCATCTTTTATTGAGCCTTCAGCATGGTAAGCACCAAATAAATGTGTTAAATGGAAAGACAAGCATGTAAAAAATGAATTTAGACATCTGTACAAGATTGTGT